ATTCACATCTAAGCCTCCACTCATGCTAAGTCCATTTGGAGCACAGTAGTTCATCGATTATCATTTATCTAAGAAAACCTTTTGTTTCATTGATGTTCAGTGCTGACCTGGCTTATGCTAGTGGCTTCTCTTGTCTTTCTGAAATCTGTCACCTAAGTACTCTATAAACACACCTCCATAGTCCCAGCTGCATATCAAGCCTCATCTTCTGTCTGCTCATCACCTGCTCCTAATATCCAGTAATAGCCTCACAGAATGACAGGCTGTCAGCTCTAAGAGTGGAAACCTGAGGATCCATCAGGATGAAGGACATCAATAAGGACATTGGAACCCACTAGCAAGCAAGGCCATGGAAGTTATCAGAAAGTTTGGTTTTGGTGGGGTTTGTGGGTGACACTGTACCTTGGCTACAGATTAGAAGCTGCATTTAAATGAGTCAGCTCTTGAGAGGCTGCAATACACAGAAAAAACAACCCAACTAAGTAAATGGCAGCAGGTGTACTGGGCAGGAAATAGATTCAAGAAAGGCTCTTTCATGAGGTCAGGAAATAGGATTGAATCTGAGTATGAATAGTGCAGTCAAGGTTACCTTCAGTCTATTACAAAACTACCATCTTTGCATCCAGTCTGTATTGACATTAGTAAGAGTCAGGTTTATTGTGTAAGAGAAGGTGGTTAGCTAATCTCACTGGGGTGGGGTGTCTGTAGGGAGCAGTCTCAGGTTGAAGTCTATGGTAGGAAAAAGCTGATTGGTCAGTTTCTGTACACATTGGCTTTAACTAAAGGTCAGTTGTTGACATTCTTACTTGGACCTGAAAAGGGCTTTCCCATTCCTCTAAGCATGACTCAGGGGAAGACTTGTGAGCCTGAGGCAGTGGGGTCCTTGACATGGCCCTCCTCATGTAAATTCTACACATTCATCAGCTCCCTACAAGGGACTTTTTTCTCCTTTATTTAACTAAAATTATGTCATTTTCCCCTTCCTTTACCTCCCAGTAATTCCTCCTGTATACCCATCCCTGTAGTCCCCCTAAAACTCCTGTCTTTTTGTTACTGTTACACACGTGTGCATGCACACACACATGCACTGTGTGTCCACATGCACATGAGTATACCTAGTAGATAAATACAATCTGTTTGGTCCATGTGAGTGTTGTTTATATGTATATGATGTCAGGGCTGACCACTAAGTATTGGATAACCAGTTTTCTCCTGCTCTTGGCATTCTCTGGTTCTTCATGTATTGGTGGGATGCTATAAGATTCCCCCCTTCCATGTTAACATACCTATTGGAGGTATAGTTCTTCAGGTCTTGTTCCAATAGGCACATTATTGAGGGATTATGGGTGAGACTTCCCTGTTGTTCCTAGGAGATATAATCTCATGACAGATTTCCTGGTCCTCTGGCTCTCAAAATATTTCTGTCCCCTCTTCTGAGATGTTCCTTGAGCCTTAGGTGCATGAATTGTGTTGCAGATGTGTCAATTGGAGCTGGGAACCCCAAGATCAATTGTTCTTTACATATTGACCAGTTATGGCTTTCTGCAATTGTCTTTGTTGCAAAGGGAAATTTCTTTGGAGGGTGAGGAGCTACACTTACTGTGGGAATAAGGATATTTAGAATGCAGTTAGGAATTCTGCTGGTTTAGTAGAATGACTCTGATAGTCATGATGTCACTAGTCCCAATTGTTGGCTAGGTTTCTAGTACCAAGCATGATTTCCCTCCTATTGAGCAGGTCTTAAGTACACTTAGAGCGCTGTTGGTTACTACCAGCATGTTAATGCCACTATTGCATCCTTAGGGTTATCATGCCATGCTGGTCACTAATATATAGTTTAAATGAAATTTCCCCTCTTGGTCTGATCATGCTGATCATCTAACAAAAATACCTTGATATCGGGCATGATAACCACCCTTTCAAGTTGTTATTTAGGGGCATCCTAGAGACTTCTAAAACAATATAGGCTATTGCTGTTGCCCTTGGTTGCTTCTCAGAGGTCGAAGGTTAAGTCCCTATTGCCAAAGATAACATGCTCTTCAGATACAAGACCTGGAGTACCCAAGATGTATCTAACTTGAAAGCCTCCCCCCTTGAACTAGCTTTCAGAGTACTAGAAGGTGCCATGCAAACATCCAAAGGAGGGAAGCAATGAGCTATCCTACCTGTCTGTGATACTAATGAACCACACTGAAGCTACAGTATTTAGGTGTGTCTAGTTTCTCTTCCTTTCTTTCCTCTCTGTCTTTTTTTCTGATTTTCTTTTATTCTAACTCAATAGATTTGAAATTCAAGAGGAAAAAAATAATGGTTGTTGTATTAAATAAGTGTTCAATTATAAGCAAAAAGCACTTTATATCTGTTACCATAGTTACCAACCACACTTTAGAGAAAATGGCCTCCATCACTCAGAGTAATTTCAAGAAATGCTTTTGAGGGAAAGAGCAGAGAAGGTGAACAGGAGGGATACTCCCAAAGCAGGACAGTTGCTAACTGAGCTCTCTGCCAATGGATTTTAGAGTTCTGCCATATAGTGTTGTTTGTGAGTGGGAATTTTCCTTCGGCTGTCATATAATGCCCACTTAATGCCATACTAGAATAATACTCAAACTCTAGAAGTCTGCCAGCTTACATAGGATGCTGATATAGTTCTGTAATATTTTAGGGCTATTTAAATAGAGCAAGCATGAGTAGGCCCCTGTATTTGTAAGCACTGACTGTATCGCAGAGGAAGAGATTAAGCAGCAAGGATGAAGCCAGTTGATAAAATCCACAAATACTGCTCTAAGTGGCAGCTGTGTGCTAGATGACTGGCATCCTTCCCCAAACTTGTGCCTTTGATCTTAGTAGCATTTGGACCTCACACGGTATTTTGACACTGTTCCATAGTTCCAGGTTGCATGGAGGCTAAATTTTATCTCATGCTGTTTTGTTGATGTTTGGGTTTTGACACCAGTGGATCATTGAATATGCACATCGAGACTACAAAAGAACTTCTTAGAGTTGACTTCATATTTGGGAGAAAAACAGCAGAGATGACTGAAGGAGGCCGGAATGCCAGCGGGTGCCAATCTTGTAGGGTACAGGGGTCACAGAATGACAAGATGCTCTAGGACCTTCCCAGACATGGAGAATCAAGATGAATGGTGAAGATGGGCATGTCAGGGTTTGTGGGAAACTAGATGGCTCTTTGACAGTCATTGTGGTAAATCTTGGCTGTGTCTTCTTTCCTAACTTAAAGACCTTGTTCCTTCCAGGAGTACCCTAAAAGTGAGTCATCCTTTCTTCTCTCCCTACATTCTAAAAGCCCCAACCTATCTCCACAACTCCCTCTTTACTATTCTCTGTAACTACAAACCACCTCAACTGTGTTTTGTGCAGATCTAAGAGAGACTTGCAGGAAGTATGTGTTTACTAGAGGAATAGATAAAGCAACTTATAGAACACAGTTGAAAAGTGGTATTAAAGGTTATTAAGGACAGAGGATGGGGGAGGGAATGTTATTAAGAGCATTTAATATTGTACTTCGTATTCACCACAACCATTTGCCACAATGATCTTCACCAAAGGGGTCTAGCTTAGTGACTTTTAGGAGGTTTTTTTGGTAGAAAGACGCTCCCATGGGCAGTTTCGCTTTTGTTGTAGGACATTCTTGTGTGTCCACCCATACCGTCCCTGTGGGCAAACATCTGTCAGTTACATCCACTTGGTATACACAATGGATGGGAGCTTTAGCAGCAGGATCGATCAATAGTGTTCAAGGAGAGAAGGATCTGTGGGTCAGCTGGCTCTGGGGAGGCAGGACAGACTGTGGGACACATCATTGCGCTCCCTGAGCTTATCTTCACTGCTTTGCTCTTCCAGGTCTCACATCTTAGCCCCTTATCTTTCTTCCCACATAAAAACAAATCAGTCCCCATTCCCACGCCTCCCCAATCTACATAGGTTACTGGCCATTTTAAAGGAGTTAGGAAGCCACAAGGATTTTGGAAAACAAATCAACCTGAGAGAAAATGTCAGTCTAAATGGGACTGGAGGATAGAATTTATTTTGAAAAGCAGCAGCACCCACACTGCCTAAATTGTTGTGCTTTGTTTGCCTTTGTTCCTTCTTAGTCTCTGGAGCAAGTTAGCAATGCCCGGGCCAGTGCTTTCTTCATTTGGAGGCCCCCACTTCTGTAGAGGTCTGCCAGGCATCCCTGTGTGGGCTTGCCAGGACTGTTTGACCCCAAGTCACTGTTTTTGCATTTTTCCTGTGTTCCAGTGATTCTCTGTGATTCACTCATGACTCCATTTTTGGATAAAGGCCGGAGATAATCCTGTTACCACATATGACTTGAAGAGCTAGTCTTCTGGTAATTAAGTGATCGCAATAGCTGGTAGCAGCTTAAACACTGTCCACCAGTGACATCTTAAAAATTCTGTCTTCCATATCAGTCCTGCCTCTGCCTTCTGGTGCATGTAAAGTTGCTACTGAAAGTTCTGGGACCGTGTGGACTCTGCACATGAATTCAGTCCAGCTGAGTAATCAGCATCTGTACTGAAAATAGCTAGTGTCCTAATCAGCCCTTTCTGGAGAGTTCAGCACTAAGCGGTCCTTGGGGGATCCCGGCTTAGAGTCAAAACTGCTATCGAAGCTTATTGTACTCATCCATAAGCTGAGATGCTCACTGCCTACCAGCCTTGACAGTCATGCAGATAGTTTTAAAAGCCATTGTAACTCCACATTTTAAAATGAAGTGACCATCAGGCACAGGTCTAGTGGACACCATCATGCATAATTGCACCCTGGGACTTTTGCAGACATCCAAAACTTAGCTTCTTATGTGTCCATAGAAAATACAGGCACACTAAACGTTTGCAAAGCTGAATTGTTTAAGGCAAGGGATGAGGCTTGGAGTTAGGGTGCTTGCCAAGCATGCAGGAAGCCCTGGGTTTGATCCCCAGGACTAGAGAGAAAAGTTTAAATCACCTTTTGCTATATGGTAATGTTTGTTCTCAATTAAGGTTGATGTAGGAGTGGTACACTTTACACCTTTGATACAGCCCAAGATCGAGCAGCCGTTCAAGCTGGTAGAAAAAGTTGTTCAGTACGCGTTTCAGTTCCGAAGGAAGTATTGCCACCAAGGACTTGGGTAAGAATTTGTTTTGACTTTATGACTCTTAAAGGGCACATATGACTGGTTTGTTTTAGACCCTATGGTGAGCAACATGTCCACCACAGAGGAAAAGCCCTACGTTCACCTTAGATGCCATATACAGGTTTGGTCCTAAGTGCAACCTAAAACCTCATGTGCACAACTTCTGTGGGCCTCCTGCTAGGCAGGACTCAATGGGTTGCTGTCCTGTCCCTTATGGGCAGATACACTTAAGAATTAGAAAGCAGACATGCTTACTTAGCAGCCATGATGTTGTCATGATGGGTCTTCTGCTCCACATGGCCCTTCCAGAAAAGCAAGCCTGAGTCGTAGTCCTGCAGTGTCCACACTGATCACTTCTTATATAGCAGGTTTAAGATGTTTAGTTAGGTACAGCTATAGTCTCTACTAGTCAACGGATCGATGCTGGAAAGGGCGTGGCTTACAGTGCACAGTGTTAATTTTCTGAGACTCAGATCCATTTTGATTCTCTGTAGGGTTGTAGGAAGTGTAGGTTAGTGCAGGAAATGATTTCTGGTGTGTCGGGGCCACCACATCCTGAAATGAATGCACCTTATAAAACCCTCTTTAAAGTTTTGCCGTTATGAGTGTTGATGCGTGGCATTCCATTTATAGATTTTAACTTTAAGTATAACTCATACAACTGTACATACTAGCACTAATGGGAAGTGGTAGAAATCCCAAAAAGTACATCCTGCTTTTGAAATTCCTAGAATTAGTTGGTCTAGCCTAGTCCTGTTGTTCGCAAACTAAGTAATGCGCCCTATTCATTTCAGCATACCTTCCTCTATACAGACATGGACCAGATACCAAAATTCACTTTGAAGAATGATTGTTGCTATCCATCAGTCACACCATGCTACAAAGTGGTCCCAGGTGTTAGAAACTATTATCAGACCCTCTTTATCCTGAAACTGAACTCACTGCTCTAAGTCACCTCACCTTAAAGGTTGGGGAGTGTGCGTTACCATCAGTCTAGAAGAAGAATTCACCCTCCACTGACCATGGCCTTTCCCAAGGTCCAGGCACTCTTGCAAGTTTCAGGTATCTAGGTTCATTCTTTTGAAAAACAGTTGACCTGTTTAATTAAATGAAACTTAAAATGCACACTTTAAGTTTTAAAGATGATTAACTATTTGTTTTTATCATAGACAACTTAGTACTTGTGCAAACTACTCTCTTTTGGAGTAAGGGGTTTTGAAGACTTTGAATACATCCAGGTTATACAAAATCAAAACAAGAAATTTATCAAATAAGATATAATAAAACTTTACCAAAATGAGGAAAATCAAATTTTCATTTGTTGTAGCTTGGGAAGATTTCCCTTTCTGGACACACCTTACAAGGCTTAGCTTAGACCTGTCTCCAGTGAGTCAGACCTGGTGTCTTTGGGTACCCAAGAGCCTCGGGTGTCTGAGTGTGTCATTTTGAAGTTTATGCAAAGATACGTTTTGACTGACGTAATTTAAATATTCCACCCCACACTTTCCTTTCAGAATGTTATTCCCCAAAGCTCAACGCCTAGAAAACACAGGAAAGCTGTTACAGTTGGCAGACATCGACCCGACTCTCCGGCCCATCCACCTCTCGCTCATGCATTTTAAGAGCCTATGTGATGTGTACAGAAAAATGTGTGATGAAGACCCACAACTCTTTACTTACAACTTCAGAGAGGAGCTGAAGCAAAAGAGAAGAAAAGGCCAAGAGAAAGGCGATGACACAGAAGAGGAGTGCTAGCTGCTGCTCTTAGGGCACCGTATCCTCTGAGTGTGTGCTTGTTTGTCAACCACCAATGACCAGGTGACTTACATGCCATTACTACTCATGAAAATAAATATCAAGTACATTCAGTACAAGCTTTCCTTTAATATATATAGATACAACATGTTTAGTATAAACAGCATTTATTACAACCTTCAAAAATGAAATATCTGCGCATTGTGCCCCTAAACCACGTAAAAATAACTTAAATGTGCTTTAAATAAAGCAAAAAAAAAACTAACAGCTCAAAGAAAATGCCCGGAGGATTGAAGGAGGGACCCTTTTAAAAGCTATTAATCACAACTTTCCCCACATAACTTAAATTAGAATTCAACTTTATTACAAGACTAAATCATTTGATTTCTGCTCAAAAGGGATGTAAGCTATGTAATTTACAGTTCCTAACCAACTTAATCTCTAGTTTTCTGATCCACAATAAATTAAAATAACTTAAATCTTTACAAGTTTTGTGGAAGAATATAAACTGCACGAAAACCCAAACGGTTTTCCTGCAGTTTCTATTCTCCCACCAGTTTAAAAACAAATGAGCATTGCATCGCACCCCACCAGTCCTCCTATGATTTGCCATGGCTCTGTGCTTCGTAAAAACACTCCTCATTCACGACTGAAGTTAAGCTCTGGACACTGAATTCTCGCTCCAGAACCAAATTTAGATCAATGCTGGCAGTTTCAGGGTGGCTGTCAAGGGACTGGTGACGAGTCTGCGCCTTGAGCAAAGTTCCTCTGCCCCTCTTGGTGCTGTTTGCTTTTCGCTTAATGGGGCAAAAGTGGCCCCTGACCAGCCTAGGCTGCTCGCCTGGCCCTGTGGTAGGCTGCTGCCCAGCTGGGTGCGTGTCAGGCTCCTCAGAAATCCTCAGTCTCTGGAACTGAAGCTCAATGTCCTTAGTAGGGCTGCCCTGTTTCAGAGGGTGGTGGAGGTCTTCATCTTCATCACTCAGAATGTCACTTTCTTTGAGACCATCCGGAAATTCTGCCAGGCCCTCATGAGGGTCTTTCTCTATCACGGTGCCCTTGGAGTCTTGCCTGTGCTCAGCTACTGGGCAACCACTGCTCTGGGTGCCACTGCTCAGGCTGCACTCATCTGAGTCCAGTGAATTGCCCTTGCTGGGCTCACCGGGCCACTCGCTGCTGGAAGATGTTCTGAGGACCTTCAAAGATCTGGATGAAGCTACAGAGAGAAAAGGATATTTCTTCATATGACACAGAAACATATTCTAGAGTTAGGGCCTCAGGGGCTTTGTGACACTGATATCACAAGATTTTATTATGTGAATTCAGTGATTTATCTTGGCATTTAGGTGGCAAAACCAAGTAGTTACGTCAAATGGTGAGTTTACTGGTGTCGTTAGGGGTCTTGTTGCTGAGGCTCTTAAACGTCTGCTTGTCCTGCCTCCTCCTGAGTGCTGTGATGACAGTGTGCACCACCTTGTTTTCTGCATGCTAGAGATCAAGAGTTTGCCCAAGGCTGGGAAAGCACTGTGCCCACTGAGCTACACCCCCATACATATCTGAAATTCTTAAGTTGGGATTCTGCATTTTTCTTTTTTTAGATTCCCAGGACTCCACCATATAGATAGAATAATAAAGTGTCAACACCGATCATAAGGGCTAGAATTACTATTTTGCCAATGAGTAAATGGAATAATTAATCACTAATAAAAATTTAGGTTACATTGTTTTGTAATCTGAAAATACACCATCTCTCTATGCATAGCCTCCCTGTTTGTTTCCCCAGATGCTCCATTAGAAGCTGAAAAATGTTCTTATCTCCTGAGCATTGAGCATCATCTCTGCTGGATTCATAAACAACTTTGGGAGAATTAACATTGTACACATTTAATTGTGTGTATGTGTATGTAAGATTGATTCTGGTCTCTAGAGTTGGAAAGGGAATTCTTAGTTTGAATGTCCCTGTAATCTACTAGCATCCTAGTTTTGATGACAAAGTGGGGAAGGGAGAGGGAGAAAATGTGTGCCCCACAAGATAACACTCAAGAACTCAGGGGATGAAGCTCGTGGTAGAGTGCCGAACTAGCAATGAGAAAAAGGTCCTGGGTTCAATCCTTAGCCCCACCAGAAAAAAAAAAAAAAGAAGAAGAAACACATTAAATCTGGAAAGTAGGCAGAAAGATGAACAGCATATTCCAGGCTGACCACCTGCTGACAAGATTGCATAAGAATAAGTGCATTGGGTCTTGTGATCCGAATGAGGATTGACCTTCAGGAGACCTGGCTAAGCAAGGCCCCCAGACTCCGTGTTCATCTCTGAGAAAGGAATAAGTAAGATGGTAAGTACCATTGCATGATGCCAGCTGACAGGGCATGTGGGGTTGGGGGTAGATGTATTTTATGAAAGGATGGGGGGCAGGGCGACTCATGGTTCTATATAGCCTTATGGTGTTTTCTGCATTGACAGTCTCACCTAATTTGGCTGAAACAGGAACTCGGTTCTTAAGTGGCACCAGACGATCCTTACATGTCTTCTCCAATGGTAACTCACACTTTATGTGGCGCCTGAAGTTCTCTCTCAGAATAGAACGAATCACCTTAACAATGCTAGTTTTGCTCTCACTGTCACTAGGGAAAGAGAAGAAAGAGAATATGGAGTATGTGCTGTCCATTCTGCTGCACTGTGGGCCTTCCTGGGGATGCAGCCTGGGCCAGCTCAGCCTTGCACCTCAGAAGCTACCCCAGCAATGTGTGCCTGGCTTTTCTGACTTTAAAGGAGTGAGAATTGATCATTCTGTGTCTGATCAATATATTCTACCAGACCTATGGTTGCCCCTTATAAGTGGAAGCTGTGCCCTAGGTACCAGATTTCGGGAGGACACTCAAAGTAACACAAATTTAAGATTTATTTATGTGTATCCCATATGTGTTAGGTGTGATGTTGGGTGCTGAAGAAACCAGAAGTTGTCAGATCCCATGAAGCTAGAGGTAACAGGTAGTTATAAGCTATCCAACATGGGAGTGGCAAGTATTCATAACGGCTAAGCCATCTCTCCAGCCCCTAAACTCGACTTTAAAGGGGACACAATTAAGTCCTATCCATTTGTCAAGGGAAGTACCTGCAACACAACTGAAAGATGGTTTCTGGCCGCCCTTCAATTTCTGACTTCGTATGAATCAACTCCCATATGGAATTATTTTCAGTCCCTGGGTAAAAGGAAATGGAAACAAGAGTCCACAACTTTGCCAAAATGCTATAGTTAAGAATACCTGAGGTATTCCCAATTCAAACACCCAATTCTGTCTCTTCATTTTCTTCATGCCACATGAATGGAAAAGACATGAAAATGTCTCGTTGCATTCCCCAAAGGGTTTACCTGCTGTGTTCCCCAGTCTAACTTGAAGCGCAGATATGGGGATCAGCCATCGGAACTTAAACGGGTCCAAGTCAGCAGAGTTGTGGGCGGGGCGGGAATTGGAAGGCTGCAGTGTGAGAGACCACCAGGAAGGGGTTAAAGTCACATATATTGTAAATCGCTATCTTGATCTGTATGCAGAACTATTGTGGGTGTCTAAGATGCATAGAAACCAAGTGAACCCAGTTCTCAAAGACCTCCTGGGACTGGGCCAGAGTGACAGTTGCTGGAACTCAAGGGTTCTTTATCTCTACACAAAGATGGCAGACATGCCTTCCTGCAGTCTCCAGTTCTTTTGCAGTGCCTCTAGCCAAGCTTTGATTATTTGAGTTTTAGCTTTTTGTCTTTTTTTTTTTTTTTTTTGAGTCAAGGTAAAAATTATTTTAAAGCCAAATCTTTATAGACCTCTATGTATGGAACCACATAGACTATTATTTTCAGGGAATAAAACTTTTCTGTTTTAGCCTCCACTTAGGTGTTTGTCTTAATCATCTCTTAGAACAGATGGACAGCTATTTCACTTCTGGGCTTATGTGCAGAAAATTCCATTCCGTGGCCTGCCATAGAAATGTGGCACCCCCTGCTGACTGCTGCTCTATTCACTATAGCAGAGAACTGGAAGCAACCTAGTTGTCCATCAAAAGATGAATGTGTGCATACAACTCAGCTCTCAAGAAAAGATGTCAATTTACAATAAGAGGGATGGAATTAGAATGAGTTCACTATCTCAGAAAAAAACTGCATGTTCTCCATCATATATGCAAATTCTAGCCTGTGTGTATGGACATTTGAGTACAGTGTAACCTGAAGAAAAGAACAGGAAAGGCTAAATATAAGGGGATGAAGAAGGACTGAATGCAGGTAACAGATCCAAGTTATAAAAGGATTATAAAGCTAATTGTTTTCCTAATTCTCATTTTGTCATGAATATTTTGGTTTTGGTGGTAGATGTGTGTGTAAAGTTTACCACAAAGCTTCACAACCTCATTCCTAATGCCTGTTCTGACTGTACAAACTAGAATAGACAGACTTGTGTAGGCTTTGGATGTGGTAATTTGGGGTATGATGTTTTTATTATTTAAAAAAAAACTTGGAAATTAAAAAGTACTATTGGATTATGAGGCCATGGTTGTTTGTGAGGTTTTTAGTACAATGTAGGAGAGAGTCATGAAAAGGCAGCTTTAATTAAGAGTCATTTTTTCTTACCGGTTTCTTTTTCAGTTTGCAGTTTTCTTTATAAACAAGTATGACAGCTCTCTTAAAAACTAAAAGAGAAAGAATGGTCTTGTTAGTTTCCACAAACTCTAAGGTTAACCCAGAGTGGGCACTTACTTGATAAGAACAACACCCTTCGAACCCAGGACCGAAATCCCGCTGTGTTTTTAACACCTACTCAGAAAAGCAGGTCCTGCATTTGTTTCTGTGTCATTTGATGACACTGAGACCTGGATGCCATGGCCTCAGCTGAGTTCAAACTATAACTTGCTCTCCCAATTCTGGGTGAGATGGAAGAGGTTTTGAAATGTAGCACTGTTCCAGATGGCAGGTTTCCAAACAGCCTTGTGAAATGCTTCTCTAGTGGGCTGTGTTGGGTACCAATCACTGCAGTATTTTCCCAAATTCCCAAAAGCAGGAGTCAGCAAGAGCGGTAATGTTAGTCAAGCTTTTTGTTACTGCTAATGCTTCTGAACCAGAGTACCAACCAA